CATCAGCCCTCACTGAATTACTTGCAGTCTCTCAAAAGCAGCGGTACTAATAATATTACAGGTCTTATCACTCTATACTATAACCTCTGTTTATAATCACCCTATACTATTGATCTCCTTCAATGAACTTTAAACTCCTGGATAACAAATCTTTAGTCTCATTCATCTTTGTATTCTCAGTACCTAGTGCAGCACTTAATACATAGTAGATACTCAATAAATGTTTGCTGAATGACTGAATGGCTGGCTGACTCAAATTAATGAAGGAAAGATTATATATATACACACACATAGTTGTATACATAAAATCAATATGTAAATCAGTAAAAGAATTCTAACCTTTCAAGGGTAATACTTATATTTCTTTCCTATATCAGAAACAGAGACACACAAAAAGTGCAATTCAGAGCAGGCATTATTTCCATTTTCATCTTATTCTATTGCCTCATTCCTACAAATTGCACTGCCAAAAACATTCCAAAAGGGCTTATCAGCTAAAAGCAAAGAGATCATGATGTTCCAAATCTTCTAAGCTCTAGTCAAAAGACCTACAATTTAACCATGGTGAAGACAATAGAACACTGTACATTGATGATGAAAATGAAAGTTATTATGAGAGTCAAAACAGAACAAAGAAAATAGCAAAAAGTCAAATAAAAAGAGTTCCCAAGTGAGATAAAAGCAGGGGAAAATGTGCAAAACAGCCTTTTCCCATCTTTACTTTTTCCCATCAATTTCGATCTTCCTCTTCTTTCCCTTCTTTAACTTACTTATTAAATTTTTTTTAAAGAATGTGTTTTAATCCCCCTTAAGTGATAATGATAGCAATATAAGGTGGTAAATGGATTATTGCTATCATCAAATGGATTATTTTCAGTCAAATAAACCTGCAAAAGAGATTTTGGAAGATTTCATATGCAGAACACAATGGCAAACATTGATTTAAAGGAACTAGAGCTTCATACTAAAATTGGTTCTGACCTGAATAGATAAGCATTTTTAGGAAATCTAGGCAGTCTTCTGCATCAACTTCATTGGTTGAAGAACTAATCTTAAGCTGTTTCCCAATGAAATTTCGACAGGTTATCTTAAAAAAGAAAGATGAAAACAAATATTACTTAGGTATTTATAGTTACAGATCGGCTTACTTGAATGTTTATCTCATTTTTCATTTGAAAAAACTAAAGAGATACAAAACAATGCTACAAATAAAGGCTGGCAGAATAGCATTTAATCATGAGAGCTTTCGGGGGAAAAAAAGTGGCTCCATAATGTTTTATATTTCTCTTGTACAGCCCAACTGGAAGAGCATTAGGCAAATTACATAGAGCAAGTAGAGTATGATTTTCTGATATTCTATACATTCACTAGTCTAAATATATTTTTCATTATGTAAGTTGAAACAAATTTAAAGTACAGGCTACTTTTCCAATGGCAGATTTTTCCACCCGACTCATATAATGCAATTTTACTTCCCTGGTGAAGTTTTTCAGAACTAACACTAGTATTTTGACAATTTATTTTCTAACAGATATTTAAGTCCTAAAATCATAAAATATCAGAAAACAGAGGAAATTCTTTTAAAGGGTCCAAGACCCTCTTCTCTCCATTTCTTCACTTATATCCCTCGAACTAACTTATTGCTCAAAATACAGCCCTCCCGGAACCTCAGTCTGATGTAGATGCTTCTTCCCTGTTGTCTCTTGTGGGCACTTTTATAACGAGATATAACACAGTCTAATAAAATGCAAATTCCTTCCCAGAGCTTAATAAGGCCCTACTTGACCTAGTCTTTCCTACCTCTCCAGCTTCATTAAACAAATCTTTATTGAACACCTGTTATGTGCCAAACATTTTTCCAAACTGAAGAAATAATATAACAGAGAACAAAATAAATAAAAATTCCTATCCTTATGAAACTTATTCTAGTGGCATAAGAGAGATAATAAACAAAATAATTAAGTATATTACATAGTATACTAAAACATTATAAATACTATAGCAGGAAATAGGGCAAAAAGTCACAATTTTAAATGAGATAGTGAGAGAAGGCAGCACAGAGAATGTAACATTTAGCAAAGACTGGAAAAAGGTGAGAGAATCAATGTGGATATTTGGGGGAGGAGCATTCCAAGCAGGGGTGAATGCAACACAAAGATGCTGAGGTAGGAATATCTTAAAGAACAGTGCAGTTAAAACCTGCAGGGGAGTAAAAGAATATGAGTTATTAGAGATAATGGGGGATGAATTAAGTAGGGTAAGTTATATTAAGGCCATGACAAAGATGTTCACTTTACTCTGAATCAGATGGGAAGCCACTGTAGGGTTTTAAGCAGAGGTGTGATATAGTCTGACTTGGGTTTTTAAAGGGTCATTCTATCTGCTGCATTGAGAACAGATGATAGGCTGGAGATAGGAGTGCAAGGTAATTTGGAAATCGTTGCATTCATCCAAGCAAATATAACAATAGGTTGTATCACAGAAGGAATGATAGAGGTAGTGGGAAGAGGTCAGATTCTGATTATATTTTGGAGGTAGAGGATTTTGTAACTAATTTGAAGTGGCGTATGAGAGCCAGAGAAGAGTCAGGGATGTCTCCAAGGTGGCCAGCCTGAGCAGCTAGAAGGACGGGGTTGTCCTCAACTGAGGCAGACTTGATGGAATAGTTGTGTTTGGGATGTGCTAAATTTAAGAAGTATATTAAATGTCTAGGAGATGATGTTGATTAGACAGTGTGAATTTTTTTATGGATCAACTTGTTTAGGAGTAAACTATAAGGAGGAAAGAGAAGGAAGCATCCATTTTGCAGCACACACACTCTCCATCCCAGTTATTCAATCAAACACCAACCTAGGTGCTGCTCTGAAGCGAATTTTGCAGCTACTAATCAAAGTCCCCAATAAACTGACCTTAAGTTAAGGAGATTATCCTTGGTGGGCCTGACCTAATCAAGTGAGTTCTCAACATGCCAGCAGCAGTCTCCAGCACTCCAAACACCAAATAGCAGCCGGGTCTACAATTGCTCTCTCCTCACTGCATCCTCCCTCACTGACTGTCTGTGGTTCACAGCTTCTCTCCATGCCTGTGGGGTTCCCTCTTGCTCATGATCCTGATTACCTACCCCTGGATTTTGGACTAGTTTAGACAGCCCCCACGATCATGTAAGCCAGTTCCTTGTAATAAATCCTCATATGCATAGGTAGGCAGGTAGACAGATAGATAAGATAGATCGATCTTACTAGTTCTGCTTCTCTGGTTGAACTCTGACTAATAAGGCAGTAAGGTATCTACCAGCACAAAATTCAGGAGGAAAGTGTGAGGGGTGATGTAATTTCAACAGTCGTCATCATAAAGATGGTACTTAGAGCCACAGACTAACTCACTAAGGGACAGTATGTGGATAGAGAAAACAGGAGGTCCAAGAACAGAGTCTTGGGGCACACTAATGTTAAGACATTGGGGAGAAGAGGAAGAAGCATCAAAGACGACTCAAAAGGAGCAGTCCCCTCTTTACCCTGACCCCCATCTGCTACACTCCAGACGTGCTGGCCTTTTTTCTGTCCCACTCAGGACTTTGGCCTATTCTTCTCTTGGGCTGGAATGCTCTTTCTCCAGATTATTGTGTGGCTGTCCCCATCTCATCAAATGTCACCATCTCCAAGAGGTCTTCTTGATCACCTCTTTCCCCCTCCCATCCCAGCCTATCTCTATCCCACCAACCTATTTCATTTTCTGCGGAGAACTTATGATGATCATAAATCTTTCTGTTTATCTATTTACATGTTTATTATCTGGCCCTGTCTCCACCCCTCTGAAATTAAACTCCATGAAGCAGGAACTCAGACTGTATGCTCACCACACAGAATATGCAGGAGGCAAGGCAGACACTAGACCATCAGGAACCCTGGTGAGAGGAAGAAAGTGGAGTCCTCGCTGAGTGGGTGCAACTGTCTCCACCCCTCTGAAATTAAACTCCATGAAGCAGGAACTCAGACTGTATGCTCACCACATAGAATATGCAGGAGGCAAGGCAGACACTAGACCATCAGGAACCCTGGTGAGAGGAAGAAAGTGGAGTCCTCGCTGAGTGGGTGCAACACCAAAGCCCACAGACTGTGTGGAGAGCAGGGACTGGACTGCAGCCCCACGAATGCCAGGGGCCTTGGGGCAGGACACAGACTGTACAACTGTATGCAACGGCTCTGATTAGGCAGTGGATATATATTTGTTAAATTAGTAAATAAGAGGATTTACTTATCTTTCTTCTCCACCTCATTCAGGTTGGACCATAACTTTCATGGGCCCTAGGCACTTTTGCTTTAGTGGGCCTTTCTCTCCATAAAAAAAAATTAATTATATTTTCTGGTTGTGTTGATATAAACATAAAAATATTAATAGTAAAAATTAAAACATTCTTTGACCTAAACATTCCTTTTTTCTTCTTATTTTAAGAGAAATTATTTAGTGGACCTCTGAAAGTATCGTAGGCTCTAGACACTGTCCCCATTGTACCTAATGGATAAATCAGCTCTGATCTGAATAAGCTTCTTGTGGACACGGACTTAATTTCTGTTTACCCTGTATTTGGAAAATACTGGCACATAGCAGGCTCTCAATGATGTTTGTTGATTTGAACGATAAATGCCTACGTGAAAAATCACAATATTTATCTGATTCCTAAATCTTTGAATTTTATATGTGTACCAACGGGAAATCTCTACTTTGGAATAATAGAGCTGAACTCACCTTCTCTCCATATTCAGCCTCATACCTCACACAAGGTTGTTGAGCAATGTCTGGGCCCTTGAACTTGTGTATTCTCAGAAGAAGCTGGCGCTGTGCATACACCAGGAGTGGTGTCACTTGTTCTGTATACCTCTCACTAGACAAGTACATCAAAGAATACATTAAAAAGTAAACATTAGTTAAAAACTTTTTTTTCCAATGAAGTCTGTTACTTTTAATTGCCCTTAAGGCAGTACTTACTGTGAAATTGTATTGAACTGAATGGCAAGCGATACTAGTGTTTCCCATTTTTCCACCTGATATAAAACTTCCAGAGATTTTAATACAAAGTCATGGATCCATTTTAAATCAACCACATTTACATCATCCAAAGGATGCTCAAAAGTAAGGCTGGAACCACCATTATCATTTTTAATATTCCCATAACAGCTTGGAACACTGAACTCTCCTTTGTCTTCAATAGACTGCAAATAGCACATTAAAAAAAATTTTTTGTGTAATTTCAGATTTTACTACATGTTTTTTTCTTTTTTTTCTTTTTTTTTTTTTTT